CGACAGCGAGCGTGGAGCGGGCCCAGCCGCGGCCCTGACCCCGCGGGGAGCCTGGTCCGGCCCAGGAGCGCGCGGCTCCCCGGGCGCACACTCCTCCAGGCCTTGAAGCCGGGAGGAAACCACAGCCCCGTCCCTCCGCCCTTCCACCCGGCCTCGGACAGTCCAGGCCTCAGGCTCGCCCGCTTCCCTGGACCTTCAGGGTCAGGGTCCTTGTTGGGCGCTGTAACCCAGTCCCCCAAACAAACATCCTCTGAGTTTGTTTCCGGGCGCTTCCGTCCCAGTGGGTATACCTCCTGAACGAATTTCAGGGAGATTCAAGAGAAGCAGTTGTATTTTCAGAGGGTCTGGGTTTCTTTCCTGGACATTTCCTCTCAGATGAGGGTGAAAGAGGGTCACCAGATCTGAGCGTAGGGCCATGGCAAGTCTTACAATAGGAGGGTCTGGGCAGCAGAAATGGGATTTTCCAGGAGTAACCACCACAGGTGGGAGTCTCCCAGGCAGCAGTAAGGGGGCAGGACAGCAACCCCAGGGAAACCCCGGTGGGGAGGCTCCAGGCAGTGGTGTGCATCTGGGGAGAGAGTCCAGGGACAGAGCTGGGCCCCACGAGTCTTCCCCTTTCCCTTCCTCGCAGGCGGATGTTTCCTCCATTCAAGGTGCGAGTCAGCGGTCTGGACAAGAAGGCCAAGTACATCCTGCTGATGGACATTGTGGCCGCCGATGACTGCCGGTATAAATTCCATAATTCTCGCTGGATGGTGGCCGGTAAGGCCGACCCGGAGATGCCCAAACGCATGTACATCCACCCGGACAGCCCGGCCACCGGAGAGCAGTGGATGGCCAAGCCTGTGGCCTTTCACAAGCTGAAGCTGACTAACAACATCTCCGACAAACATGGCTTTGTGAGTGTGGGACAGGCTTGGGGATGGGGGCCGGAGACCGCACCTAGCACGGCAGCCCAGGGCTGAAGAGTGAACCAGGGGCATTTCCCAGAGGGGCCCGCTGGTGCCCTGCCCAGGTCACTGCCCAGTGGTTTATGCCGGCTGGGCCTGGGCCCAGAGGGCTCTGCTCTGTAAGCGGGGGAACGGCCGGGTAGTTCCAAGCTGCTAACAGTCTCGGCTTGGGTCAGGCCTTGGAAAAGCCCTTCCTGGTGACCAGTGGGATGCAGGTGCGCCTGGGACTCCGCTGTGCAGCCACCGGTCTTTAGACGTTGAGCTTGGAAGACCTGCCCATGACCTCAGCTTATTCTCACCCTTCCCCAAGACCGGTGTTCCCATTTTTCTCCCCAAACTAGGAGATTTGAAAATTAAATCAGCTCCCCATACCCTCTGTGAGACTCCCTTCCCTCCTCCCACAGGCAGATGCCGACCGGGAGGAGAGAGTTGGGGGTTCTCTCGGCTTCTGCCCTAGCCAGGGCCCCAGCCAGGGCCCCAGGGAATGGGATGGGGCAGTTCATGGGCAAAAGGGACTGCCTATTCGTAGTTAGGGCAGCCGGTGAGCCCCAGAGTTCCCAGTCTTCTCTCCGTGGGTTTACTAGGGCTTAGCAATAAGCTCAGGAAGAGAGGTTAAGAGTGGAGTTGTGGAGGGTTTCTATTTAGTTTTATTTCTGTTTTCAACTGGGGTAAATACTTTTTAAATAGAGAAAGAGAAAAACTGAAGAAAATTGAAAGAGAAAATAAAATAAATTATAAACGAGGAAAAAAGCAGAAAAGACAGGAGAAAATAGCAAAGGAGGCGGGGGAGGGAGCAGGGAAAGCAGAACCATGTGAGAGGCAGAAATTGAAAGAGGTAGGGTCCCCAGAGATTAGAAATGCCCGGGCCAAAGGCCGAGGGCTGCCGGCTGACCTGCGCCCTCCCCGCAGACCATCCTGAACTCCATGCACAAGTACCAACCCCGCTTCCACATCGTGAGAGCCAACGACATCCTGAAGCTGCCCTACAGCACCTTCCGCACCTACGTGTTCCCCGAGACCGACTTCATCGCCGTCACTGCTTACCAGAACGACAAGGTGCGGGGCGTGGGCGGCGGGCCCAGGCCCTGCGCCGACGCCCCCGCAGCGTGCGGGCTCCCACACCCCACTCACATCCGCGGGCACCCCACCCCCCCGCACCCACCCCGCTCCCGAGCACAAGTCTTTCATCTGTAAGCGCAGCACCCACCGAAACCCCCCAGGCTCCCTCCCAAGTCCACGACACGTACACACACGCTCCCTGGGGTGTGCAACAGCTGGGCGCTGGTTGAGGTGGGGATGTTTACTTAGCAATTAGCAGAGACTCGGGGCAGCACTGACAATTTTACATTTCATTCGTTTATTTCTTGGCTCAGGGATGGGAATTTAAATGCAGAGAGTGTGCCCAAGGCAATGTGCCCAGGCTCTCCCTAGGCTAGGAACCCCACTCTAAGAACCTGGGGCCTAGTTTTCACTCTCCTAGGGGAGCCAGAGGTCGGGACAGGTGACGCCGAGCCCCAAAGCAACCGCCTTTGGGCCGGGCCAGGGCCCCAGACCTCTTGGGGAGGTGCTTAGAGACGTTTCCTTCAAGCCAAAGGGCTTTTCCTGCTTTCTGCCTTTCTACCCCCTCTCTCTAAAGGGGCAGAGCACCACGCCCGTTAGGTCGGTGCCCGCGTGCACCGCTCTCGGGTGAACGAGAATGTTTGAGTGTCCCGAGGGGCGTTCTGTCTGTCTTTGTGAACCGATGCATCTCCCGTACGCGCGCACCCTTTGGGGCGCCCTAGATACGCGCGGAGGCACGTTTATTCGTTTGCTCTGTAGGCGCTTGTTTTGCGTGTGTGCTGGTGTGTGCGGGCCGTGAGTGGGACCCGTCTTTATGTGTCCACGGACCTTTGTTGTTCTTCGGTCTCTGTGCGCCCGCTCAGGTGCCTGCCGGGCCTGTGTGCGCGCCTGGGCCTGTGTGCGTGCTGCGACAGATTTCCACTCTGTGCGCACAGCTTTGGGCCTGTGTGTGCAAGTGGAGCGATTTTGCCTCGAATACTTCGGAGGAGAGACCCTGTCGCTTTCCTAGAGGCCCGCCCCGCCAGCCTCACCTCGCATTTGGGCTCAGAGCTGCCCATCCCCGGCGGGAGGGTACCAACTGGACACTCCCGGGCTCTCCTCTGGGCTGGCAGCCGCTGACCTCGGGATGCCCCAGGCCAGGCTTGGAAGCGCCGCATCCTGACCTGGCGCCGCTCCCTCGGTCCCCGCAGATCACGCAGCTGAAGATCGACAACAACCCGTTTGCCAAGGGCTTCAGGGACACGGGGAACGGCAGGAGGGAGAAAAGGTGAGGGGTGGCCGGCCTGTCCCGCGGCGGGCGCCTGGAGGGCAGGATGTGGGGTGGGCGAGCGCCGCCGACCCGCTCCCTCGGTTCATCCCCAGGAAGCAGCTGACGCTGCCCTCTCTGCGCCTGTACGAGGAGCACTGCAAGCCCGAGCGCGACGGCGCCGAGTCGGACGCCTCGTCTTGCGACCCTCCCGCGGCACGGGAACCGCCACCGTCCCCGGGGGCAGCGCCGAGCCCCCTCCGCCTTCACCGCACCAGAGGTGAGCGTCAGGCGGTCGGACCGGAGGTGGGGGAGGGGGGAGGGTCTCCTCGGGGCGCGGGCCCTTTGCTCTCCGTCAGGTTAACGTCAGGTTAACCTTGAGGCCGGGGAAGCGGCAGCAGGGCGTCGGGATGGGGCTGCCCGCCTGGACGGCCCGTAACGGCCCCTCGTGGCCAGAGGATCCGCTGGACTCGGAGCTAGGCCCCCGGCGCTGTGTGCCTCCCGCAGCAAAGGAAGCTGCTGGGCTCGGTTTCTCCCGCTGGATATAAGGGGTCTCGGGTTGGGCGACCTGCCGCTGCCCCTCGCCCGACGAGGACCCAGGAGCCTTGGACTCGCCCTCCC